ACCATCCCTTGCAGAATCGACCGGCGGATATGCTGCCACGCCAGGATAGGAACAGCGGGGGTGGACTGGAAGGTCTCCCTTGATTTCGGGTTGCAACGCACGCTGCCTGACATTGATTTTCCACCACCTCGCTCGGCCCCATCTCTCTTCATTTTGGCCCACGACTACCTCTCTCTCTCGAACCCCTCCGCAGTTTGCCTCTCGTTTCGGCGTTCTTCTTCCCCGCTCTTATCGCGGTCTCTTATCCTTGCGACTCCATCCCTTTTCTTTCTCTTTCTTGTTTCTTCTTCTTTCACCTCCTCTTTTCTCTCTTTCTCTCTCTCTCTCTCTCTCTTTCTCTTTCTCTCTCGTAACGAGTGCTCGGCCGAACGGCGACCAATTTGGCGCCACCGAACGATATGTGTCAAGGCCTAGCGAAATTCAGCGCGCCGCACACGCACGATCGGCTGTTCTGTTTGCGCGTGTGCGCATTCATTTTCAACATTCCCTTCACAGCAAAAGGGACGCTGAAATTGCGGTCGGTTTTACGAGTTCTATTTTCGTAATGGAATCTTATAATAGAATCGAAAAGCGTGCACGCGAGACCGATATCTTTTGCGACCTCAATTTGAATTTGATAATGAATCATTATCATAATCATTATTCCGTATTTTGTGCTCGTGTTCTTTGAAATTACGTGGTCTTTTATACACTCCAGTTACGATAATCATCTTTACCTCGAACCGAGGTGTCGTCCTCCATTTTCCCATCTCGCTTGCGCACGCGTCAACGAGATATAAGATATAAAAGATATCACGCGCAACCGGGAGCAGCCCGGCAAGACCAGAATCGCGCAACGCATCCGGTTAGGCCGAAAATTAGGTCCTCGAGTGCGAGGCCACTCGGCCGCTGATAACGGGCTGATATGCCCTCCCTCGCCAGCGGCGTTCGCCTACGATCGATCGAACGTTAAAAAGCTGGACGCGCGATAGGAGGGTGTGTGTATGTCAGGAGTCGCGTACTCGTCGTTGCACGTTACACACGTTTTGTTCGATCTGTTTAGTCGAAAAGGGAAAAAAGGTCAGATCGTCGCGGCCTGGTATAAAAGGGAAGACCTTGGACCTACGTTTGGTAAGTTTAACCTTTCCATTTTGCCGCCGCCGCCGCCGCCGCCGCCGCCGCCGCCGCCGCTTTGCCTCGCCCCGTCCGCAGGTCTAATCCTCGAGCTACTCTTTCCTAACTTCTCCTGCCTCTTATATCTCGAGAGAGAAAAAGAGAGAGAGAGAGAGAGAGAGCCCTTCGGTCAAACACGCATGATTCCTCCGAGAATCCGAGGCCCCGGTGTCCCAGATTGCCGTATCTTTCCTTCTTTTTTTTCCAGACCATCGACTCGCGGCTCGCTCAGGACGTCATTAGAATCTCCTCGATCTTTCTCCTCCTCAAACGGGACGTGACGATAATTCGTTGACGCGAGCGAAGAGCCCGCACTCGCAAGACTAATTGGATCACTTAATTATTTCTCGACGAGCTTTCGCGCGGCCCCTCAAAACAACAATTTAATAAAGCGCAGAGGAAAGGACGAAATTCACTCGTCTTGAAAGGTATTTCCGAGAGAACGCGCGCGTCACGATTGTTTTTCTCAATCGAATTTTCCCGTTACTCTCATAGATAACTAATACACACGCCGGGAAATTTCTCGCGCGGAACGGAATTTCGTATCCGAGGAATTTCGGCGCCCCGTTGCTCCTCTTCTCGGCACCTTTAAACACATCCGACGATGGGCCGAGCTGTGTGTGCGGTAATCATCGATAAACACGGGAGACCCGGGCGGGATCGGCGATTTCTTGGGCGGCGCAGATGGCGCGTTTTGCCTTTCCCAGAAGCGCGGTCCGTGCCGCTTCCTGGGCCGACACCGTGTTTTGCGTTTCTGCACGTCTCAGGGGCGTATCTACCCCCGAGGCTTCTCGTTCCCGCTTTCCCTTCGATGATTCCAGCTCGCCACCGAGAGAGAGAGAGAGAGAGAGAGAGAGAGAGAGAGAGAGAGAGAGAGAGAGAGAGAGAGAGAGAGAGAGAGAGAGAGAGAGAGAGAGAGAGAGAGAGAGAGAGAGAAAGAATGAATCCTCTTGTCGAGCTTGTTTTCTCTTTCTCTCTCTCTCTCTCTTTTTTCCCTTTCTCTTTTCCCCCTTTAAAGCTGACCGGCTCTCACTCTTCCGGCTTGCGGCGTCTTCGCGCGTACGCCTTTGTTCCGGCGCGCGCGCGCGGAACCTTTGTGAATTTCGTACAGTCAGCTGCACGAGACCCGAGAGAGGAGATTTGCCCCGCGGCCTCGTTTACATTTTCTAGGACGCCACGGCCCTCTATTTTTAGGTCCCGTCCGCCGCCGAGAAGCCAACGACGGACGGTGGTCTTCCGCCGTGCGTAAGATCCGTGCGCAGTGTGATCGCACGTGTCGTCACACTGCGCGACTATATATTCCGCATCGTTTTGTTACTCGTTTATATTTTACAACGCGTAATTTCACGATAAATGCCGATCGTTTATTGTTTTCCACGAGTCGGGTTGACGTCAATCGACACAATTTTCGTGTCAGACGAAATAAATCACAGACTCCGGACGCGAGATCTATTGAGGTGATTTGTATCAACGGAAAGAGAAGGCACGATGATTATGTATGAAAAAAATTATCATTATACAAATATGTAGAGAATTTTACAAAGTGACACGAATCGAAGAATGTTTCGCAATAAACGATCGGAGCGATCGCTGGAAGGAAATTTCCAAAAAGATCGGCTCTTTGTTAGAAAATTGTCCGACCGCGATTATTACGTCGAAACACACGCACACGCCACTCACGCCCACGATTATTTATGCGTTGCATGTGGCCCGTAACGATTTTTACGACGGGTTAGCGTGTGACCGACTCGTTCGAACGCGATATCCTCTCATCGCCCGCATCTTTCTTTGCCGTTTCTTGTGCGACACCTGAATGCCGGGATCCGTTCGTTTTACGAAAGCCACCTCGCACGGCCCCCGTTGATGGGCGGTCTGACGTTCTTTTTTTTTTTTCCCCCTTTGTTGTTTTTGCTTGTTTTCGGGTTCTCCGCGCGCGGCCTGTTTCTAAATTAATCTATATAATCTCGATAATGACACGGTATGTATCCACGCCAGCTATATAGCCGGTTGAATGGCCCGTTCAAAGTTACACGGCACCGGACTCGGGTCAATTCATCGATTCCCGATGTTAGCTCGGAATTATGTTGTAAGTCGTTATTGCCGTTGTTGAATTCGCGTGCAGTGACGTCAACCGCCGATGCGTCAACGACGCGCCAACGACGTTAGAGAACGTTTTGCTGCCGCTCTGTGTACCGCGTCTCTTTGTGACGAAGCTAAAAAGAAATACGAACGGGGTTAACGGGTGACACAAGAAAGAAGACGGACGTGCGCGCGCGGAAGATATACAAAACTTCACCGACCGAACTCTGCTGTGCTGCCCGCAGTTTTTTGGTATCACAATGAGTTGCTTTGCTCACATTGAGACGAGAAGCCGGAGTCACGGTCGCCGCTAACCGTTCGCGCATTTCTAACGCTAATGATCCCGAACAAAGGAGTTATTTTTGAGTTACGAAAGAGAGAGTCGTGGTATATCGCGCGTGAATACTATTTTTCCACCGAATTTTCGAATATCTTCTCGTGTTAACAACAGTTTTCTCATTCTACAATCTCTTTTTGTTTTTTATTTGTCTTGTTGTTGATTTCATAAAAATCTATATAGGAATTTTGATACACACGGTATTGAAATTCGGGCAGTTACGTTATCTGAGGCGTGAAAAAACAGTCACGTCTATCGTGTATTTTTTAATGCAGGCATCATAATAACGAGAATCGCCGATGACCCGCGCGATAAACACGATGACTTGGCTTAGAGAGAGAGAGTCTTATAAACATTTATATAATATATAGCTTCTGCAGCGAGGATTCATCGATGGCGGTCCACGTGGCGTTTAGCGAAGGCTACAATGCGGAGAATGTCTTTAATAAAGAGCACGAATAAATTTATGTTCTTATTAATCGTGAGATAAACTATGACGTAAGATTGTTTCGTAAAATGTAGTTAAAATTGAGAATTTTTAATGAAATTCAGTAAACATTCAAGGAAGCTTAGTAAACAAGTTGTTTCGCAAGCGATGCATGATTGGTTGTTGCGCGTTCGCGCGTAGCGGAGTTGGAGCCGGTGTGATCGCCGTAAATGGTACTTCGGACTAGATGAGAAGAAGTATATTAAAGACTTGGGGATGGCCTTGCACGCGCCAACAATCTTAAAGGCATTGGCCTAATACTTAGCTGTAAATCGTTCGCCTCTCAACTTTGTTTCCTTCTCATTCGTCGATGAAACTAATAGCAAAACGCGGCTGCGCGCAGGCAGAAAAAGTCTATCTTATGGTACTGCGAGAGAGAGAGAGAGAGAGAGAGAGAAAAAGAGAGAGAGAGAGGGGGGGAGAGAGAGAGAGAGAGAGAGAGAGAGAGAGAGAGAGAGAGACAAATTGCGTAATATGCATCCATATTTCTTTCCACGAAGATTTCGTTATGGCGTTACAAGCCGCGCATATGCGCAGAAACGCGCGCGATTGGCTCGTACGATTAATTCGAGCAAAAACTCAATCGCAAAAAATTTTCACAAGAACTTTCTAACTCTTCTCATAAAATATTCTTTTCTTTATGTATCGGTTTGATATTTGCTGCCACGAACTAATTTCTCGGTATCTTCGTTAGTATTTTAACTATATTGCGTCACATGCATCTGCGGATGAAATCAACCTCTTTGTCGAGTTACTTATCGGTCGCGCGTAAATTTATATTCGTTGTCAGATCAGTTCTTATATGTCGTAAAGAGTCAAATTAAATTCAAAAGCAAACAAACAAACGCAGGTGCGAGTTTGTATAATAGCGGCTATACGTGACGGCTGCGCGGAATAGAACTTGCTTAACAGCTTTCGTAAAACGAATGTTTGTGTTATTCACAGGTAAGAAAATGAAGTGTCCCTCCTGCGAGAGATTATACGGCTACGAGACGAATCTGCGCGCTCACATCCGGCAACGTCATATGGGCATAAGGGTGCCGTGTCCGTTCTGCACGCGAACGTTCACCAGGAACAACACCGTGAGGCGGCATATCGCGCGGGAGCACAAAGATCAGCTCAGACAGAAGGCCAATCATTCGGTCTCGGACTCCGTGCAGCAGTAACAACGTCTTCGGCGTCGCTGTCCCCGTCGCCAGCGCGATCGTCGTCTGCGCGCGATGGTACCGGAGGAGAACACTCAGTTCCGGCGACCACCACCCGCTAGAGCTGATCGCGATGCCGAGTCGTGGATACAGAGCGAGCGGGACGAGAGAGGAGAGGCTGCAGTATAGGTACCTTCGTTTTCCCTTCGTCGTCGTCAGCGTATGCCGTCCCGGTTCCTCGTCGCGAGGACAATCTCTCCGTGCGCTTGCGGAAAAACAAAGAAAATGTCGTCTTAGATACGTTGCAGTTTATATATATATACGTGGAGAAAAAAACGATCCTGAAGAGATTTGCCGAGTAACGGAAGAAGGAAGAAGAAGAAGAGAAAAGAGCGCGGGACGCACATGGAAGCGCCAAAAGGCCTCGGACAACACGCTCGCGAAAACGCTGCGAATCACAAAACTAGTCAATGAAAGTGCAACGGTCAAGTAAGGTTTTTATTAACTAGGAGCTTTTTCTTCAACGGGCGAGAGAGATCGCGAGTGAAGATAATAAAAAAAAAAAAAAAAAAAAAAGCGGAACGAAATAATAGAAGAGCGCGGATATATTATATTAAGCACAATTTATATAAAACACAGAGTCATAAAGCGCAGGCGACTGCGACGAGAGAACTGCACAACTCAGGTAAAAACAAAACAAAACAAAAAAAAAACAGAACACTCACATAATCGTGGCACGAATACGCAGTTAGCGCGTCCAAGAGGGGAAGACAGAACTTTTGTAATAGTTCGACATTTGTATACCATAGGATCGGAGTTTTACTCGCCGTCGCATTTTTAATCGTTATACACCGCCGTTACCAATTTATACCTATTTCTGGTACTATTCTACTGTCGCTATTGAGAAGTCGAGAGCCTATATAGGATCGTGATCACACTTGGGTGATATATATATCCATAAACCGTTACGTTACACGTGCACAGTGCCAAAGCCAGACGCTTTTTTACTCTGAACTAACTCACACATCAAACTTTCGGTTTCGCCTTTTCGTATAACCGACGCGTTACGCGGTGACAGACTCACATATCCGAAATATCGCGCCGAGACAACATCCGATATACGCACACGTATATATACACACACACCACTCATACTTTGTACTGTACAGATTAACGATTTTATACAATATATTTACGAGATTATAAACTGCGATTCTAAAAGGCGGACGACTGTCGTGCGATTCGGTCGCGGAAGCGCGCACGACCGCTGACAGATACTTCCTGGCGAATGCGCCGAACGAAGCGGAGTCGACCGAGCAATAATAATCACATTGATACGTACATCATTTTATTATAATTATAATAATAATAATATACGTCGACGTAGATATCTTTTCTAAAGCGCGCGATTATATATATATATATATATATTATAATATAGTATATTATTTACGCGTTCGCCACGGAAGTTTCTCGCGGCTGCGCCGACGCGGCGAACCGATTACTACCACTTTGTTACCTGTTTACAATGTTTAAAATACGGACTTTTGTCCGGAGCAATAGTCGCGTAAAAAAAAAAAAAAAGCCGAGAAAATATAGAATATAGCCATCGATTACACACGTGTGAAGGAAATAGTTTTGCGCGCGAAATAGTTGCTATCCCGGTTATATAAGAGAATATGTGATCAATGCAATAGATTTATATTACACATTTTACCTATATGTATAGATATATATATATAGAGATATACTCCTAGTCAGGATGGCACCCACGATATTACTTTGTTACAGTATTTTACACATTTATACAGATTTATTCTATCTTATTTTGTTTTCCTCCCCATTTCGATTGTTCTCGCTCTTTTGTGTTTTTTTTCTTTTTTTTCTTTTGCAAAAAGTTACAAATGGTTATATTCTCACAACGATACCGCCTATGCCGTAAGTTTATCAATGACAATAGAGAAAGACGATATAGAGAATTATTTAGTATTTAAATGCGTCGTGCGCGAGTTAGGGATAATAAACAATAGCACACACAGAAGATTATATATATATGTATATGGAGAAGCTAAAAATTGAGTTTTTCTTTTTTTTTTTTTTTTTTTTTTTTTTTTTTTCTGTTTTTTTTTTTTTTTTTTTTTTTTTTTTTTTTTTTTTTTTTTTTTTTTTTTTTTTTTTAATAAATGCCGAAATAATATAACATATGTTACATGCGAGAGCACTCGTCGCGCACGCGCGCGCATACTCTGCCAAAAGTATATGACAGACTACCTCATCTTTTGCAATTACACACACAGGGAACACAATAGCGATTATACAAATAAATAAATAGAATCTGTACACATTCCGTACAGCCACTATACTTACTCTATATTACTACTTTGTCCGGTTAAGTGTCGGAGCAGTTCTGCCATTTGCTACCCTGGCGCAAGGGTTAATACAAGATCGCGGATCTCGGAGCTTGTATGTACACTTGAAAGGATTTGTCTCCGCTCTCGCGAATCAGAATCGATTTATGCCATTATTCAGGCATGTGCACCGTTCGATATACTTGCTTGCACACAACCAAAGTTGTTTTATATATCCGCCGCAAAATTACGCAGCAAAAAGCTCCGGGATCCTTGAATCGCGCGTGATATCTGCACGTATGACAGATCCGTTTTTTTTTTGTTTGTTGAAGGGTTTTTTTTATTACAAGGGCGCGTTGTAAAACCAACACGTGCGTTACAATTGTAAATCGTAGCGAGGAGTGAGTGAGCGCGAGAGCGAGCGAGTGCGTAACACACATTGTGCGTAATCAGCCGTGAATGCGCGCGTGAATTTTCGCGTGCGAGCGGTGCGAGTTAGAGGAAGAGGGAGGAAGAGGGAAAGAAGGAAGAGTCACATTTGCGAGATCCGTTGTCGAAATTGCGACGCGTCGCCCACGTGTCGTTGCACGCTGGGCGGTCGCGTTTTGATCGCACCGTTTTCGTTTCCGGGGGAAAAAAAGCGAGAAGTGTGAGGAGCGGCCGAAGAAGAGCGCGAGCGAGAATGCGAAAAAGGACCGGAAATCAGAGATCGCGCCGTGAGAAACGGCGAGAACAGATGCATACCGTTTTGCGTTGCTGAACTGGAAGATAGAGAAACTGTGGCGAAAATTGCAAAAAATTATTGGATGACACGCCGATTGTCTAGATGGCGTACGAAGTTAACCGGGGGTATGGGATTTGATGAAGCTGCACGACGGAGGTTACATATATAGTCATAGGGAAGTTAAGTCCCGGGGGGAAAAGAAGCCGCGGGAAGGATATTCAAAAATGTTATGTGTCGTTTACGTATGTGATGATAGGACATACACACACGCGCATACACACATACACACACATCCACATATGTACACACAAATCATAGAGAGAAGAGATAGAAAAAGAGGGAAAGAGAGAGAGAGAGAGAGGGGACAAAAAGGGAAAAATAGAAGGATATACACGTAGACAGCACACAGACACACATGCTCGTGTAAATAGGCACGATCGCGTATGCCAAGTTATATAATGAATCTTTTACTTAATATATATACAAAATATAAATATATATATATATATAATTGTTTTCGGCTGTTCTGCTAAGCAGAGGCAAGATGGACGGGGGGGAGGGGGGAAGGATTTTTAAGAGGTACAATGAATTAGCGTTAAGTTTAAAAAGTAGATGAGAGATTTCAGCGAAATTGAAAGTTAGAGTAACGAAACACATGGAAACGCGGAAATTTTGGGGAGGCGGTTAAACCCAGGGTTTTAATTGTTTTGTCATACGTAAGGATTATTAGGAAAAGAGTGCATACGTAATAAAGATATCTCACACCCGACACTCACATCGAGCACACACGCGGAGCCACATGTCGGAGGAAGCGAAAAAGAGAGAGACAGAGAAAAAAAAACAATTTATAGGAAGAGGAATTTACAAAACAAAAAAAAATAACACACACGTACCTACTAAAAGATAATCAACGTAGAATTAAAATAAATTTAGAATTAGTCGTATATTATCGCGACATCGGCTACGCGCGCAAAAAAAAAAAAAAAACGTATTCGAAGTTTCTTTCGAAATGGTTGCGTATTTCTTTCGGGGTAAATTTTATATCATATATATATATATATACTTCGTTTCTCTAGTGCTAAGTTTTTTCTTGTAACGAAAATTTAAAGTTGTTGTTGATTTTTGTCGTACGCTCAAAAGGTGTCGAACGATGCTCTTTCGAATTGACTGCGAAATTTTTTTTTAGTTTTTTATATTATTTTTTTTTATTTCTGTTTCGATCCTATTATCTCGAACTTTGTTTGAGTCCTGGGAGTTTGCGGCTCTCGAGGGTGATATTTTTACATTTGTTACGATCGATTTTCGTCAAGGTACGCGTAAGAAATCATCCGGATCCGCGGCCGGAAGTCAAAAAGCGCGCGAGCACTTTTGCCGTTTAGGTTTTCGGCTCCGTCGGAGATCCGGTATATCCGGTGTAAAGATTATACTTGGTCTATATGTATATAATATGTACGCAAACACACACGCAAACATACACACACACACAAACACACATACACGCTACACACGTACACGACACTCGCGCGACACGCGTACGTGACACCGTACGCGCGCCATACGTACGCGTATGTATGTACCATTATTGTATCACGGCGTAGGATAAAATGTTGCATGTTGTTTCTATAATATGTGTTTTACGGATTGAGAATCCTTTATAGATGTCGTGTGTGACACAAGGCTTGACACGAGAGAGAGAGAGACAGAGGCCGAGGGAGATTCGCATACCGTGGCTCGTCCGGACGCGCACGCTTTCGAAGAGCAATGCGATCGAAACTCTGTACGCACGCGAGGGGTGGGACAATTAATGGGAACGAACTTTTTTGAGTGTTTCGGGGATCTACCGCGAGATTCGCATTGCTCGGTTCCAAAATTGAATTATCTTCTAAATTAAAATTGAAAAGACGAAAAAAAAATTGAATTCGAATTTCGAGAGACTGAATTAAATCAACCGCGAAAATCATGAAAAATATTATACGTCACGATAACAATATCGAGTTGTACGACGATATCATTCGGCTCCGTGTTTCGAAACTGCGCGTTCGAGTGCTTCGACGATCGTCACGGTGTGATCGGAGCCTTTCTCGACAAAGAAAACCTTCGTTACCATTCGCGTCACGCGGGCAGCGAGCATCAGGACAAAAGTCAAACCAAAAAAAAAAAAAAAAAAAAAAAAAAGGGAATTTCGCGGCTGCCCGCGGGAGGAGAAGGGGAGCAAAATTGATGTCATCACTGCACCTACACCGCGCGCAGAGAGTGCACTGGCAACTACTACTGTACCGTTTGCTCGTATAGTATATTATAGTACTATACCGTAGTTGATAATGATTACATAGTACACATGTATCACGCACGCATAAGCATTATTTAAAGAAAAAAAAATCAATTTGAGGCAAAAAAAGAAAAAAAGTAAAAAGAAGCGAACGCAAAGAAGGGGACAAGAGTAAAAAAAAAAAAAAAAAAAATTAAAAAAATTAAAAAATAATAAAAATGAAGTAAACAAAAAACACACGGCGTAGCGATGTCGCAGAGCGGGACCTCGAATATCCGGGGGACAAGCGGTTCGTTTTCCCGGCCGCGACTTTATAGTACAAACGTTAATGTTAAGAGTTAACAAACGGGAAAGGCAGGACGTGTGGATTTTGTAAACTTACTATACACGCTGTAAATCGTATAGGTAAACATACAAAAAAAAAAAAAAAAAAAAAGAAGAAAGAAAAAAGCAAAACCGAGTGCGCCGCGCGACCGGACGAACGCGTCGGGGACGAGCCCGTTGTCAGAGGAGAATGAACCGCGTTCCCGTACGATCGGCCTCCGCTCACGTGAGCTCAAACGCGACCACGATGACAATTTCGCCGTACATTCTCCGTATATATATATATACATATACCTCATCAACAAGAGCGCGTCCCGCGGTCGAGAGCGCTCGAGGGTTCGAGAATCGTGTCGTTGTTGCGCGACAATTTAAAATCGAAAAAAAAAAAAAAAACATTTCCGACTCTCGAGACTCTCGCGCGACAGCGAGACGCGCTTATCTCGCGCCCGTTCCTTATCAATAATAAAAGACTGATCTCTCATCGTGGCGACGACGTATGCAAGAACACTGCCACTAGAGGCCGGTTGCCTCCGTCGGGCTCTTTCAGTCGTCGACGCGTCTCACGGGCCGCCGCGGCCGCCGCAATAACGGATCACAAATACTTCGTCACACAACTAGTACAAATGCTACCTCACACACGACATACAGGGTGCGCACAGAATGAAGCTTACAAAAAAAAAAAAAAAAAAAATCTCTGTATATAAACACACAGTGAAGCGATAGTTTGCAAGATCGGATGGAATCGGCGCGTCGCGCCGCCGTCCGTCGCTTTCGGTCGATGAGTGAGAGAGAGAGAGAAAGAGAGAGCAAAGGTGGCACACAAAAGGAAGGAAAGAACGGTAGAAGGAATCGAGTCGATGATTTTGGACGCAAGCTCGATCCGAGAACGCCGGGGCGACGCACGACACGCCGCGAGTCCTACTCTCAGGAATATGAAAACCAAGTACAAACTACAAGTATAATAGTCGATAAGGTTCTTAATAAACATAAATCAATGGATCAAGCGATGCAATAGTCGGGTGTATAGTAGGGACTGTGTCGGTGTGTTCGTTCGTTAAAGACCTTTTCTCTCTGATATGATATATATAATATAAATATAATAACACACACACACATATATATATATATATATGTATCGCCGGGAGAGTTAGATGTTTGTTGAATGACCGCCGCAAATCTTCGCTCGCCACGGGAAGAAAAAAAAAAAAAATCATCGCCAGATTTTTATCGCCGATTTTTCTCTCGATTTTCCCGCACAACAGCACCTGATCGTGTCGGGCGCGGTATAACACACGCACACCACCTTATATATTATAAAAGAAGAAAGTAAATATATAGCGGGTCCACGCGCGCGCTTCTCTCGGATTTCTTTAATACGGGACTTTCACGCGAATCTTTCTCTCGCACGTGCGAGCATGTTCTCGTTGCTATAATATATATTTGTTCTTCTCGTTGATTCCCTATTTCACATCCAGGTGACGTCGCTTTTCCTTTCCTTTCCGTACAGCAGCGGTTCGATCGATCGTTCCGGTCTTCCCACGTATATATGTACGGTTGGCCGTTTGGATGAAAGATTACGCCGCTTATATCCCACCGAGATTAATCACTTTTCTTTAACGTACATAGATCGTAGTATATTGGTTTTATTTTTGTTTAATAAAAGAAAAAAAAATTTCGTACAACATAGACGCAAAATTAAGGCTTCACACTTCGTTTTCCATTTCGTCTCGGTGGACGAATAATCACCGTAATCAATCGAATTCTCTCCTTCTCTGATCAATGAGCGGATATAGGATTTCTATTTCATTTTTTTTTTTTTTTATTTTCTTTGTTCTCCACGATTGACGCCAGTTTCGGTGGCGGAGAAACGCGAGGTTTTTTGTTGTCAGAATAGTTCCAAGAGTTGTTCACCTATTAGATATATAATATACTCAAAGAAATACTATACCGATCACACAGAACCTCACCAACGCTTACATACATACATATATACATACATACATACATACATACATACATACGTACGTACGTACATACATATATACATACATACATACATACATACATACATACATACATATATACACACACACACACGATATTTCAAGATACACAATATTGATATGAATAAGTATACGAAACCGTTTCTACCTCAGACTCCGTATCTATATTTATATACATATATAATATATCGATATAGTTAACAGACGCGCGTACGCGCGCACACATTTTTACCTACGGTTCCTCCGGTTCCTCTGTTTCCGCGAAGTATTATTTTCGTTCTTTGTTTCTTTTCTATATCATCGAGCCGCATATTTACGCCATGAAGTGAAGTCGTGAATATAGCGGCAACGCAGTGGATAACAGACGAATGAGATTTATACGTAAATATGCATAGAAATATATACATATATATTTAAAGAGAGAGAGAGAGAGAGAGAAATAGAGAAGGGAGTATATATATGTGTATATATATATATATATATACATATATATATACCCGTCGAACCTTCCACGATATCACATACCCTTCCCCTCCTCTAGCCCGAGTGTAATGTAAATATATCCGTTTATATTTATTTATTTATGTTTCTATGCGCTGGACGCGTCTATGTTACACGCAATTGCAAATTAATCGATAATCTATCCCTATATATTGATGAGAACGAGAAAGAGAGAGAGAGAGAGAAAGAGTACACTCATTTTTCAATATAAATATATATATGAAGAAGTATATATATACATATATATATATAAATAGTTATATATCTAATATTAAGGAAAATACTTGTTTAGATCTTAAGCGATCCCCGTTGTCGTGGTCCCGCAATGCGACTGGCACACACTCTTTCGAGAACTAAAGCAAGCTCTATATCTATAATAGTAAAAATACAAAAAAAAAAAAAAAGCAAAGAGAAAAAATTTATAGCGTTTATGCATCCGGTGACGCGGTGCACGTCCGGAACACGGGGGGAGAGGGGGTGAGTGGGCGAGCTTCTTCCGCGCGCCGGAAATTGCTGTAGGATCCAAGTTAATAAGTGCTTTTTTTCTGTCTCTTCGAGAAATCTTTTCTCTCGCGTGCTTCTCGCTGATCTGAGCCGACCTCGTGTCCTGTAATCGAGCCTTATCTCTCTCGGGAGCTATTCCCGCGAGTTGAACCGCGAATCGACAAATCGGATTCGCTATTAAGTTCCGACCCACATTGAGTCGAGCCAGATCAACGCGAATCATACATTGATTTCTCAATTACTTTCTGGGTCACATCAACGTGACACTTGTAATGCGCAAGATTTCTCGTCCGTCGGACGAGAAACGTCGCTAATATAATGTAATAACGATTGAAAAAGTTGATCCGCAGAGAGAGAGAGAGAGAAAGAGAGAGAGAGATAGAGAAAGAAAGAAATTCCTTTTTTCCGTTCGATTCGTGTTACGTTGTTTTTGTTCGTATGTATCGCTTTCATCCTCCCGACTGATGAGAATCTGTCTGAGGAAGCTTTTTTCCGAGGCGAGCGTGAGGCTCGCGGCGTGCGCCGCGAAATACGTGGTTACCAATTTTTTGTTTTAAGTTGAGAGATTAAGTTTACGTTACGAATTTATATTGCTGTAAATTGTGGGGTGTGGAAGCGAAAGGAGAGAGAAAGAGAGAGAGAGAGAGAGAGAGGGAGAGAGATTAGGAAAGAAGTGCGAGAAATAGATGCGAGACGCCGCATAAGATTTGTTTATTCTACACGGTACGAGAGCGAAACGCGCACGGACATGGTTTTTTTTTTTTTTTTTTTTTTTTTTTTTAAGAAACAAAAAAAAAATTTTGCGTTAATCACGAAATATTTTATTTATAA